CCAGTGTCCAAAGCACGACTGGTCGTTCGATCTTCATACCGGTCGATCGGACCGCGGTAGCTATAGGCTTCAAGTTTGGGAAACCCAGCAAAGGCCAGGAAGTGAAGATAAAGAGGTATGGGTCAGAAGAAAGCAAAGAATCGGATAACATAACACGATGTGGACCTACACCCAATGTCGCGAACGAACGCTTGACCTCATCAACGGAACAGTTTCGTATTAGCACACTATCGCATGCGCTATTCTCTACAACTTGATCCCCGTTACTTCGAAAGTCTGCACCATGTTCTTCTCGAACTTTGACCAGAACTTTGTGCCACTGATCGTGGTATCGAGATGCTGCACGTAACGATCGCCGCTCCCGATCTGGGTGCTCCACCTCGAGACAGTTGCGCCGGATGAAGGACGCCCCGAGAACCCCGACAGCTCAAAGTTAATATACTGTGCAGTGTCCCAGTTCACGGCCACGATGACCAACAACGACTTGCTAGCATCGTAGGCAGCGACGACGTTATCTCGGCCACCATCGAGGATTTTCATACCCGGGCGCATATGCCGGGCGAACTGCGCAAGCACGTAGTACTTTTGTGTCGATTTGCCCAGCGTTTTCGCATCATTGTCCGCGTCGATGAGGCCCCAGCCTCCCTGGTCGAGGACTTGCCAGTACTCCCACGCCGTAGGCTTCAGCTGGCGAAGATCCTGGAAGAGGTACTTGGCAAGGTTCTCCCCGGAAGCCACGCCATCACCGTACTCGCTGTTCCAGAGAGATTTCCCGGCCTGTGTAGCCAGTGTGTGAACACCGGCGCGGTCGCCGCTTCCGTACTGGTAGCCATGAACATTGATCCGGTCGATCTTGCTGAGTGCGCTACTGCCGATTGTCTTCAACGTGGTGGCAGCTTGATCGTAGTACGACTCATCTGAGGCGGCGATCTTTGTTGAGAGCCCACGATTTGAGAGCTGCGTGTCGAGATAACCGACGATCTTGGCTTGGGTGGATACATCAACGTGGCATCCTTCTTGGGTGCCGTCAGCCTTCCACCAGTTCGCACTCGGCTCGTTGAAAGGGTCCACAGTTTCGAACTCGACCCCCCAGTTATCCTTGAAATGCTTTGCGACCGTTGCCATGTAGACTGCATGCTGCTCCAAGTTCCACGATTGGATGTTTTCGCTTCCGTCACTTGCGCCCGAAGGATTGTGGTTCTTGGTCATCCTGAACAAGTCAATACGTCACACACATTTTGTCCATGAGTTGTACCTACCACCACATCGGTGCGTTTGAGAACAACTCTGTTCTGTCTGCTCCACGTGCGATCGCTTTCTGGAGTGCTGCTCGCTGGTTGACATCAACCGTCCTGAAGCACAGACGGCGGTTAGTAGACAGCCTCGTGTCACACCGGGGAGGTAGATTTCATACCAATTCCAGCTAGAAGAAGCAGGGTCGCTGCTCTTCCAGTCCAACCAGTAGCCTTCCATCTGCCTCGATCTTTTTACGTTTGGAGACACCACCATCTTCTCCCCATCGATGGTGTTCCAACTACAGGCGCCGGCATTGTAGCGTACGATGTTGAAGCCAAGACCCGGAAGAGTCTCGCCGTTGAACTTGGTCTGCTTCAGCGTAAAGAAGATATCCGCAAGATCGTCTCTGGTGCCAAATTGCTGCGCCCACCATGCCAACGACGTTCCCCAGCCTTCCCAAGTACCCCAGTTCGATTTTGGGTCGATTGTGGTCGTCACATCGGCGTCAACTGAGTAACTGCTGGCCAGCACCACGGCCGCTCTGATGAAGGTCGATGTACGCATTGTAGTGTGGTATTAGACGGAGCGGATGATGTTTTCTACATATTCTCATCGTCGCTCCCTTATTAAATATAGCAATCGACTCAATCTCGGCGCCTTATTCAGGTAACGCGCCTGCACACACCATCTTCTCACTAACTTCCACTTGGCTCTTGGATAATGCTGGAAGTGGGGTAGTCTATACACGATGTAGTGGTACTACCTCGGCGCACGACCGTTTCCTTGCGACGAAGCCTTAGACGACGAGCCACTCACAACACCCACATTAAGACTAAGACCCATCCGCGAATGAGGACGTTCAAAGAATCAAGGTTGCGCCGGCGCTTGGTAGAGTTCCAACGAACCGGATTACAGCCGGAGTTGCTCCGTAGACGAACTTTACGGTCGCAGTGGCAGCGGAAGATTTCGGCGTAGAGTTCTTCCGCATCAACATATGTCTTGCCTCACAATGACGGCAGTGGGACATATGCCGAAGCCATGCGACAGTAATAGTATGCACGTAACGATATTGGGTGTTGTATCCGCCATTAAGGTTCGGGTGTGGAGGCGGACGCTAAGGGGCAAGTCCCCACCATGTCACCCTTGCCACCGGATCACGAGTTGCGGAGTGGAGCATCTATCGGCCTGCGGAGTAAGTGACACCCGCAGGAAGTCAGATGATCCAATATTTTTACGGTCATAGTGTTCAAAAAGGCAGGTCTGATATATCTTGGTATAGTAGGGACGTCACGTAGAAGGGCTAAGTGATTATTGAGGATGTGAGTCCGCTTTGGTTATTAATATTGCACACATACTACTGTATTATACTACATGCTTAGAAGAGCTTTGCAGAGCCGAGCATCGCGCTGCCACCCTCGGTCGTGTTACCCGCGACTGTGCCGTTGGCATCTGCCTGGTTCAACCAAGCAGCCTTCAAAGACCAAACACCAACACTGGCGGTTGCTGTTTCGTTCAAGCCCGCCACCCTCAGCATCATCATGTCGAGCGGTTGCGTAGGGAAGAAGACTGCGGTCGCACCAAGCTCGCCTTCGTTCAGGAAGACCTCAATAATGCTCCTGTCGATGATACCCGAGATCTTCCATGAGCCCTGCCTATCGTCGTAAAGACCCGTAGCAGTGAATTTGTCGTTGAAGTAAGGGCTCTGGAAAGCCTCAGTCTTTCCGCGGTCCAGCCAAACATCGCCAGATGAGAGGAAGGTTCCACCTGAAATCGACTCGCCGGAAACCGAAGACTGGAAGGTAAAGCTAATAGATCCCGCTAGCGAAGGGCCGCCAGTGAGTCCCGTGACATTGACTTCAAAGTAAAGTGCGCCCGACTCGACGGTGGAGTAGTCTACGAAGGCAGTACCGTTACTGGTGATTTCAGTGGAAGCGAGCTCCTCTTCTACGATCGACATGATGTTGGAGGGGTACGAGATCAAAGACAGACCCTGGCGAGGCAGATCTTTGAGATAATGGCCTCGGGGTACGGTCATGACGCTGCGGAAGCCATCGCCTACTTCCTCGCCGGCAGTGGGAACCACGTTGGTGTACTGCCAGTTGCTCGCCCAGTTAAGCGTGATCTGGTCTTCGTCGGCGGGAACACCGTAGAAGAACTGACCGGCGTAGTTGTCCTTGGCGAAATCCGTGAGGCGTGTTCGGGCGTCATCAGCTTCGAAATGCGTGCCGTTGAAGTTACCGACGAAGTATTCCGTGATAGATCCGCCGAGAGGAGCTCCAGGGTTGATGGAAATCAACATAACATACTTGGACTCGTCGCTAGTGGAGTTCTGCACACGCATCTCAACCATATTCGGGCACTCGTACTGCAGACCGGTGATGCCGTAGCTGGAGAAGTTGCTGGTGGGAGTCCAGTCGATCAAGTTAGGGCTTGTGAAGATGCCGATCTTGAAGTCGATGGGGTAAGCCACGACCATGACCCAGCTCTCAGTAGGCTCGTACCAGATGACTTTCGGGTCACGGAATTGAGTGGGGTTGGTTCCACCGGGAACAATGACAGGGTTGTTCTCGTACTTGGTGAAAGAGTATCCGTTGTCGTGGGAGTAGGCAATGTGCTGGGTCTGGTTCTCGGGAACATTGATGGTGTAGATTGCGACTACGCCGTTGGTCTGGTTCGGGAAGAAGCCGCTGGTGTTGTTGTGATCGATGACGGCAGATCCGGAGAAAACGCCCTCGGTTGGACCACCAGGGAAGATGGCGATGGGCTGATTTGTCCATGTGTACAGGTCTTTGCTGGTCGCGTGGCCCCAGTGTTGGTTTCCTGCGATGTTCTCGGTCGGGTTGTACTGATAATAAAGATGATAAACCCCGTCTTCGTCCACGTACAAGCCGTTCGGATCGTTCATGAATCCAGCGGGCGGGCTGAAATGCACTTGAGGTCGAAGCGGCTCATCGTAGTCGCCTGAGATCGGGACCCCAGTCGGTACATTGGGTTGCGAGTACGTCGATGTGCTTGATGCTGAAGGGGCTGACGAATTCTGGGCATGTCCGAACGTGAGCAGGCCACCGATGGCTGCGAGTACAGAGAGATGGGAAGGCATGGTGAGATGATTTCCGGTCCGATGCCGATCAATTAGAGATATACCGCCAGCTTTATGCTTCTCGAAGGACGGGATGCATCCGGGACTAGAGGGCAAATTTTCGCATCGCCTGTGATGACAAAACCAGATGTGGACGTGCCCCGCATGTCTTCCTCCATCTTCCTCCGCTTATCACCCCATGGGTACCAGCATTTTCGTATCCGTGTACTGTAGCCGGTGGGTGCATGATGAGGTTGAGCCGGCATCGAGGGAATTGGGCATATCGGAGCTTCCAAGTACGTACCTTCTCCGCAAAACCACTCAAAGGCTACGCCGCACCTAGCTAGATTCAGGCCTGGGGTAAACGTGCGTTCTCGGTTGCCCAGGTTTACTTTTAAGCGTTGGGTTAGGATTGATGGGACCGATGTGCAATTGCGTCAACGGACGTGCTAGCGCGGTGCGAAATCTTCCCGAGAAACATTCCATGTTCCGATCTTGTTCTGTCAGCAGCAGTAAATGAGGAGCGTCAGTGCGCCAAGACAGAATGTGCGGGAATAAGGCCACTTGAGCCTCAAGTTCTTGTCCTAATGCTGGTGTTGTTGGAACTAATGTATTGGTATATGCCATGGCGACCCGCTTGAACGAAGACCAAGCCCCAGTCTGAGTCAAAAGCGCACTCTGTTCTTCAAAGCGCGAGCGCAAAATCCCACACTTGTACTTTTCGTGTGCCGAAAGGCCCACCTTGCCTAATGAAAAGACTCAAGACGTTGAATTTGTCAAGCCTCTCTTCGTCCACCAGTGGCTCACCAGCAGCGTTGGGTACCTCGGCCAACTTCTTCCAGTCATTGTATGCTCCGGCGGCTGTCGCGGCCCAAATTTGCACAGTCATCTTCGGTTGATCTGGTAGGATCGCGAAGACGTTGTCGCCTACGGCGGCGATTTTACCTCGATAGGCAAGATATGGGGGCGTTGACAGACCAGGCGTCTTGATGGCGGTCTTGGAAAATTTGCCTTCTGGAGTTCGGAGATAATGGTAGAATTGCGCCGTCCCTGTCGAATTGTCGCGCATGAGGGCATGGAATCGGCCTGTCTGGTCAGCGCACTGGGCTTCTTGGTTGATGATCTGGCTGTTTTGTGGGATTGTGTACACCTTGATCCCTGGTGTAGATGGCGTTATCGGCTTTGCTACAGTTTGACCATTGGTCTGCTTCCAACTCTTGCCATCATCCTCCGACAAGGCGAAGTAGAAGTCGTGGTTAGTCGAGGGAGTAGGTGTCTCCCTCACCGTCCACGAGACGAAGAGCTTTCCACCCTGGTTGCTGATGCCGTTGATGTATGCATTGTTGTCTTGACCTTGGAGGTATTTGCCGACCGCGCTCCACTGCCCAGATGTTGCAGAGTATCGATGTATGTACGAGTCACCGGCGCCAGACTGACCAATACGGAATTCCATCAGAAGATCGCCGTTGTCGAGGCGTTCAAACCGAGGGTATGTGAGCGGCGTCCATGGTCCGGTTGAGCCAGGCAGACTGTGTTGGACCGCTCCAAAGGCGCTGGCTGTCCACTGTTCGGGGATCGTTTTAGCGATGCCTGTGTTGCTCGCACGATAGTTGAGTGGTACATCGTGATGATCGAAGCTCAGATGAATCTTGCCGTCGCCGCTAATGCCCATGCTGATAGTGTTGTGTTCATCGAGAGTCGTTTGCACATAGTCTGTGAATGCAAAGTACTGCCAATCACCCAAAGAAGGGTTGATCTTGCGCCGACCGAGGTTGACATGATGTTTGCCGTATCCCGAAGCTGTCTTGTAGAATGCGACGTATTGGTAGTCGCCAAATGTGGTCAAGGCGTGTTGTTGGAAAGCAAGGCCATTGAGACGGACTGAACCCTCCACATCATTCGTGATGTTCCAGTTCTTGGTCGAAGTGATGGAGATCGCAGATGAAAGCGAAGAAAGCGTGACGCAGCACGCGAGTAACGAAGAGAAAAGTCTCATGATTCTTGGCTGAGCTCTAAAAGAAAGGCTATGCTCCAATTAAATACATGCCGGCTACCACATAATGAGAGCCAGCAATCAAAGACGCGGATGAAATCTTCTTAGTGTCCATTTCTGAACCGTGTGACCACTTCGTGTCCCCTGAATTCTGGCTGGTTGATGGTATCCAGACTTGGTCGCCTGTGGAAGGTAATTCTTGCGGGTTGCATGGACCTGCATCGGCATTTCGGGCTATTGTCCCATAATGCGGGGAAGCTGGGGAGATGGCATGGTGTCACACGGTGCCGGAACATGATTGAAGCGAAACACTCATCAGAGATATAGCACCGCAAACAGGGAAAAGAATGAACAGATGCCTTGCAGACTACATTACCTAGGTAGTGTCGGATTGAGAATTGAGATTACTCCAGCGCAAAGGAGACTTCCGGACCAGGAGGCAGGTATTCATCCTTTTCCCCAAACGTAGTGACAGTCTTTTTCAATACGATTGATGGGAAGCCTGAATCCAATTGGAGCCTCGGAGCCTTTTGTCGCGGCAGGGATGTTGGCTAAGCAGTCACCTGGTAGTTGGGTGCGCTGCACCGAGAATTGCAGTGACAGTTGTGTGTAACCAAAGTCCCAGAATGTATGCGAGATTCGAGCGAGGTAAAAGATTGTCTTCTTCTCACGCCTGCAGGTGCCACTGACGTGCGGCATGTTCCGCGACGCGTCCGATCGAATGCAAGCTCGTGTCGGAACCATTCCGAGCAGTCGGCACCCTTCGCGTGTCACACCTCTCCAGCCACCTTCCAAGCCCTCATCACCAACGCGAAGCCCATGAGAAGCACCACCATGCTCCATCAAGAGCCGCAGAAATGCCGTTCTTATGCGATAACGGCGCACTACACGCCTATCTCCGAGGAAAACGACACCAGAAACGGCAGGAGCAACTGCAGCCAAGGTCGATTCTTCTTGGCAAGGTACTCCAACCAGCGAAAAAGCGTCTTGACTGACGTAGCGCTATCATCCAAAGATGGGGGAGAGCCATACAAAAAGTAGTGGTAATGCACAAATCAGTGCCCTGCGCGCATTTGACAGCCTCAGCTGAGACCGAACGAAGATGCGTACAGCTTCAATTGCGCTCTTCGCAGCGTCTGCGCTTGCGCAGTCTCAATACGGCGAGAACCATGTCAATGTGAACCTTGACTCGCAGCTTGTGGAGCAGACGGCTTTCCCAGCGCCAGATGTGACCCTTCTGAGTCCCGCGTTCCTGCCAAACGCCTCGTTTGATCCGGGTTGGTCAGAGGGAACTGAAGGCGCGACATCGCAATACAAATTAGGTACGTGGACGATGAAGGGTGAACCCAATCATAGCTCTGGAAGCCTAACACTGGACAGAGGAGTTCATCAGCAAGCTTGCAGCGAAGAATCCTTCATGGATGACCTACGACGTAGCCGACTTCTTGAGCGAAGAAGGCAAGACGTTCCCGTACGCCTACCTCTCTACCTCCGCATCGAACGCATCCTCTAGCTACACCACCTCTGGTAAAGTGCGAGTATGGATTCAAGGATCAGTCCACGGGAACGAACCCGCTGGCGACGAAGCCACTCTGGCTCTTCTCGGTGCGATGGATGCCGACCCGACGTGGGCCGCCAGCTTCCTTGAGAAGATGGACATTATTGTCCTGCCGCGTTACAACCCAGACGGGAATGCCTACTTCCAGCGCACTTTGGCTACAAACTTCGACCCAAACCGCGACCACACCAAGCTTGCTCGGCAGCAGACCCGCGACATCAAGCAGTGGTTCAGCAGCTTTTCACCACACATCGCTATTGACATGCATGAGTATGGGGCTGGGACGCGATACTCTGGCAACTACAGCAACGCGGCCGATGGGATGTACAGCGCAGCCAAGAACCTCAACATCCATCCATCCATTCGCACGCTCGCCGAGACCGTCTTTGCGCCCGCAATCAACGCGTCTCTCCTCTCCCAAGGTCTGCGCGGAGAGCCATACGTGACGGCCTCGCGGACGAACCCGACTCCACGCTTGGATGAGGCGGGAACCGATGCAAAGATCGGCCGCAACGCCATGGGACTCACACAATGTGTTACGTTTCTCTTTGAGACGCGAGGTATCGGCATCGCAAGCCAGGAGTTCAAACGCCGAACCGTCGCTGGCTTGCAGATGATCCTCGGTGTGCTTGAGACTGCTCGAGATGAAGCTGCGGAAGTGAAGAAGACAATCGAGGGTGCTATTGCAGAGGTTGTCGAGAGCAAAGAGGAGATCGTCATCACAGACTTCACAACCTACTCGAACCGCACCTATACTATGGTTGATCGTCGGACCGGCGAGGTTGTTCAACTCCCAATCGAATTTTCCAGCACCACGCCCGCAACTGCCAACATGACTCGCGCTCGGCCCGAAGGGTACATAATCCCCCGCGCGTGGGCTGACCTTGCCGAGCGTCTCAGGGTGTCAGGACTGGAAATCGAAACTATGCCCGAGGTTTTCCATGGAGAGGTCGAAGCATACAACATTACCTCTTCTAGCCTCGGCTCGTCATACTATGAAGGCGCCATCTTGAACACTGTCACTACGGAAACACTCGTTCAAGATGTCACGCTGCCTGCTGGCAGCTTCCTCGTAAGCAGTGCACAAAAGAACGCAGGACTAGCTTTTGTCGCGCTAGAGCCTGAGAACATCGACTCATATGTCTCATTTGGCATTGTTCCTATGGAGGTCGGCGACGTCTATCCGGTCTTCCGTCAGATGTAGATGAGACGTGATCTTGTTCTTACCCGATATTATTAGTAGCCAGACGTACGGATCAATAAGATTTAGTGAGTTCCAGATCATCCATGGATTGCGGAAAGCGAAATGTCGCTCTGTGACGTTTGATCCCAGGGGTTCAGATGGCCCGTGCACTTGTCATATATGAAAACCCCATCTGATTTTACTCTGGTCTATCTTCCGATTTTTCTGAATGCGTCATGGCGTCATCCACACCAACGTACCAGCGCGCTGACTATCCGGAATCAGAATGCGTATTCTATGGTTCCGAGGCTGCGTTTGATGCAAAGAAGCTCACTGCTGGCGTTCGATGCGTCGAATTCGGTCCGCAGTTTTACGTGGAACGGTAAGAACACTAGATGTATTGTAAATGAGTATAGATACCCATCATGTTCACAGGAAACATATCCAAGCTTTGAAGCAGTATACCAGGTCGCTCGAGGTGCTGCAGATGGATTGCAGTGGCTGGGACTTAACCAACGCCGATGTCAAGGTTATTACATCGCGCAATCCGCAACTCAAAGAAGTCCTTTTACACAGGGCATTAGAAGTCACCGATAAAGGCATCGTTCATATTCTTAAGAACTGCCCTTCGATCTCCATAATAAAGGTCACCGGACCCGAAATCGCGACTGGACTTGTAACTGGAAAGTTCGCTGGGTTTCTCAACCAGCCGGCCATAGTCGAATCACGCACCAACCTCGAAGCCATTTATCTTTATGACCAGGGAACAGATGAGTCTCTGATCAAAGGTGTTTCCAAGAAATGGCGCAATCTCCTCATCTCCACCGGAATCACTATGGCATGCGGTGATGTATGGTCGTTCAATTGGCTTGGAGGCAAGTGTTTAAAAGAGGGGGAAGAAAGTACTCTTGAGGATATGGGATATCGGTTGCCAAAAGTAGATGAAGACTTTACAATCCATCCGTGGAGCCTCAGCTTTTCGCGCAAAGAGCCCCCGAGAGCCGTCCAGGCCGATGCTAACACGTCTGACATACCAGAAGGAGACGATTCCGACAAGAGTGAAGCGGGGAGTGACGATGATGAAGACGAATACGACGACGACAGCAGAGCCTGGGCATCAGACGACAGTGATGATACTCTAGGTTACGACCCTGAGGAGGAGACATACTTCCATGATGGTTACACCTGTCCGACGCGTCGGTCTGTGCCAGTGTACGAACCGTACCACGCCGCTGAAGTCCCATTCTCAAAGATGCGGTACTATCATTCGAAGGAACTCTGGGGAATGCAATGGCCTGAGGACGTTAAGCGTACTGGCATCCAAAGTATACAGTTCACCGATGATTTCTGCGTTACTGAGTAAGCTCTGCCAGATCTTCCGAACTGACACCCGATGTGCTAACAGTATCCTCTAGTAAGCATATTAAAGCTATTGCAACCGCCCCTCCCCAATTTCGCAAATCCCTGCGCACCATTGGTTGGGGCTACGCGCGCGTTTCCGACGCAGCTATTGCCAACCTCACGCGCGCCGTCCCACATCTCAAGGACATCGATTTCTACGACACGCACACCCTCACCGACAAGGCCATAATTTCCATCGTCAGAAACTGCCCCGGCATCGAGCGCATAGCTATAGCCGGTAGTGACAGGACGCCTGGAAAAGTTAAATGTCGCGGTCGTCTGGTAGATGTCATGGAGGATCTGACACTTGCCAAGAAACTGCGGCATCTGGAACTATGGAATCAAACGCTCTTCATCAGAGGCGTTGAGAGAATTTCAAAAGCGAGGCCGAAATTGGCGATCGTGGACGGTGTGACTGTGGGCGAAGATATGACGACCCGAATAGTTGCTGCACAGGCAAGTGGTAGGTATATGCATGTATATCTTGGTGGACATTTGGACTTTGATCTGGATTATATATGTAAACTTTATACAGTGGCAGATTATGAGTGGTAGACGGCTAGCTGGACCACCCCATCCAATGGAAAGACTGAACTCCTGTCAGAAGTGGATAACCTAGAAGTCTATAATGCCTTGAGACGTAGTCAAATGCGTTTACCAAACCGATGTAGGCTGCAGAGCACCTGTTCAATGTCTTCATCATATGAGGTAAGACTGAGATTTCGAAGTCTTCACAAGGTAAACTCAAACAAGCCACTCCTTCCACCACGTCACCGCCCTATCCTTGGCCTTGACCATAGCCTCCCTTTCTCCCGGAACTTCCTCGTCGCCCTTGGTAAAACAGCCATGGTGAGCATCTGG